ACTACGACGACTATGGCTATCCCATTGGTAGGGAGAAAAAAGAGGATGATTTGTGAGGCAGCGTGGTGAAATCAGGCGCTCGTCAAAATAGTGAAATTGAAAAAAAAAACCCAGCCATTTTTCTGCAAGTTTGGCAATTTTTATCGAATTTTTTTTTTATAATTGTTTTTTTCTTAACATTATTGTTGCCCTATTAAGAATACACTTCAGGGTGGTTTTTTCCTGAAAAACGTTGATTAGCGGCACAGACAATAGAACGTAAATTTTCAGTTTCCCTAGACTATCAAGCTATGGAAATACCCAAACTTACGCAGCAATTTTCCCGCTAATTCTACCTTTGAAACCATGCAACCCAACTTTCTGCAATCTCAAATATTTCGACTTCTATTCAAGTTAGATGGGCATTTTTTTCACCGATAGCAAGACAACTCAACAGGTTTTAAGACGATACCAATAACTTAATATGCCCAAATATTGACGAGCGCCTGATTTCACCACCACGTTGTGACCCAATTTGTTGTTTTTCTTACCCCTCCCTCACTCACTTCGTCAGATGTGATCCCTACAGTTTGGCTTGAGTAACATCCTGATTGATATACAACGTCGTCTTTTTTTTTTTAATAGAGAGAATAAATACATTTGGGAAGAAAGAAAAAAGGAGAATAAAGACAGAAAGAAAAAAAAGTGAAAAGGCTAACTGAAAGAAGCTGTTCAAGACTTAAACTTAAAAACATAATTTACAGGTGCTGAAAAAAAAAGAAAAAAAAAAGTTTGGTGAATTTATCGCTCTCTGCATTATCGGAAGCCCATTATGGGAAACCTTGACCATCAATGATTTATTTATAGAGGCACCAGCCATCCATGTCCAGGTGCTCTTTTAGAATCCCGTTATGGGAAAAGGATTAAGATAGGGAAAAAGAAAAAAACACCTACCTCTAGAGCAAAGCATTGAACATTTTATAGTTGATTGCTTTTAAGGACAAGCAGGCTAACCCAGATTTCGGGGGTTTCCAGAAATCTTGATCCACACCAAACGTGGGCTTTGCCCTACCTATAGGAGAAGTTTGGTTTCATTGGTGTGTATATTTGTTTGGTTAATGAGAAAAGAAAAATGATTAAGACACACAGGGGAAATGAAAAAAGCAACGACCACTAGATCTAGAGCAATGCATTGTAAATTTTATATTTAATAATTAACTTGAGAATACGATCTGGTGCTTGCTGAAGGTTCTTCTTTTCTGATCGATGGGGCTTTCTCGGTGTGTCATTGAGGTTATGTAAGTCATCCGTTCATGTCTCTTCTCTTTCAGAAAGCAAGATAACGACAACAAAATACGAATAGCAACAGTAACATCAACAATAATAAAAACCAACAGGAACA